GATGAAGGGGACGAAGAAAAATCGAAGATGAGTGCATCAAATGAACCGGGATGTTTCGACTATTTCATGCATTTCTTGGCTGTACCTTGGAAGCTGATCTTCGCAGGAATACCACCTACAGGTGCAAAGCTTATGAATGAACGATGAGTTTTGATCGATTCAGAATCTAGATGACCCGAGAACGATACTGAAAGTTTGATTCGTCTATTGAGAATGAACCGATTCACGAACAATTTTCCAAGTGGCATTTCACACATATCGAAGTTTGAATCGATCATCTCTCCAATGTCATCACACAATGTCCAACTGGAAACGCTTCATCAAAATTTCAGATTATTGGGGTGGTTGGGCATGCTTCGTTGTTTCAATCATCATGATCGGTGTGTTGACTGCATTGATCGGCGATTTGGCATCTCAATTTGGTTGTTGGGTTGGTCTCAAGGACGCTGTCACGGCTATTTCTTTCGTAGCGCTCGGAACGTCTGTTCCAGGTGATTAGTTTCCCTTTGATCTCATTTGCTGCATCCTTGAAAAAAACAAACCATACGGATGATTTCAGTCACCAACTGTGACTGAAAGGAATACAGAGACAGGCAATGCGCATACTTATACAATCAATCTTTGTTTTTATTTACAAATTCTACACGCTCAGTTCAGATTATGAAATAAATTGGCTTAGAGACAGAGGTATGACCATATCTCGAAAAGACCTAATCTATTTGGAGGATCGTACATTGATTGCATTTCATTTACAGATACGTTTGCCTCAAAGGTGGCCGCGATTCAGGATAAATATGCTGATTCGTCGATCGGAAACGTGACCGGTTCGAATGGAGTCAATGTTTTCCTTGGAATTGGTTTGTTGCTCATTACTCTCTGACCAACTGAAATCTCAATCAGAATTAATCTTGATCACTTTCAACAATGCATTTGTACCTGAAATGAAAGAAAATCTTTGAATTATTCCAGGCATCGCATGGTCACTCGCCGCAGTTGTGCACTGGTTTAGGGGTGACGAATTCCGCGTGGATCCTGGAACGCTGGCATTCTCTGTGACCATCTTCTGCGTTGAAGCGATCATTTGTATCACGGTGATCATCCTGAGGAGGCATCCATCTATTGGTGGTGAACTTGGTGGACCAATGAAATACAAGGTCAGTTAGGTTTCAAACCTAGTTAAGACCGTTCCAGATTTAGCCTAAGTATCAACAGCGATTAGTGCAAGAATAGTAATGATCATAACAGTATTGAAAGGAACAGTAATATAATAGTAAGAATAGTGATTGCTGGAATTATAGTGGAGATACATTAATTTAGGCAGTTCGTTACTGTTCAGTGATGATTTTCTACTTTTATCTCATACTGTGAATGATATCGTCCTGAATCAATTTGAGGGCGTATTATCGAAGATAATTTTTTAAGTTGCTTTGCACATTGCTCATTCAATCAAGCAACAAATAAAAAACTAACGATAAATTCATTATGGCGGCACAGATGAACACCTCTTTTTTATAAATCTCTCAGTATCATTTTCCCTTGGTTGTTCAAGAGCATCGTTTCAATATTCCATTTCTAATGGTATTCCGCATTCTACGAAACTAAACATACGGCTTTTTGACCCATCTTGCTCCAACTGTCCGTTGAGTTTGCTATTATTTGCACTGAACAGCGATCACTCTGAATCATTTTCAGATCATGACTTCTGGGCTCTTCTGTACGCTTTGGTTGACGTATTTGGGACTATCGGCGCTCGAATCCTACTGTGTCATAGCTGGATTCTAGGAGGTTCGTACAAATTGAACAACCATCGCACATAAACGCATCACCACCTCAGCTATAGTCCGATGACTGCTACTGCTCAATAAGTCGATCACAACTGCAACAATTTCTGTTCCGAAATGATTTTTAGAAACAAAATCTTGACGTCCAACTTCAATTAATTGCACCAAAATGCTCATTCATTTCGAACGAATCCTCTCTGGATAGCCGGATGCGTGCATCTTATCCCGAGATTGTTACTGTTGTTTTACGCTGTGATCACAACTACACCGTGTTTTTTCTTTTTCGTTTATTCGTGTGGCAATAATTCGCTTATTTCGACCATTCACCAGCTTATTTATTTCTCACATCTTATAT